TAAGTCTCTAATCCACCTTGAATTAATTTCGTATAAGGTGTAAGAAGGATAGTTTCAGCTTTCTACTTATGGCTAGCCAGTTTTCCAGCACCATTTATTAAATAGGAATCCTTTCCCATTTCTTACATTTCTCTCAGGTTTGTCAAAGATCAGATGGCTGTAGATGTGTGGTATTATTTCTGAGGACTCATTCTGTTCATTAGTCTATATCTCTGTTTTGGTACCAGTATCATGCTGTTTCAGTTACTGTAGCCTTGTAGTATAGTTTGAAGTCAGGTAGCGTGATGCCTCCAGCTTTGTTCTTTTGACTTAGGATTGTCTTGGGATGCGGGCTCTTTTTGGTTCCATACTGCAAACTTTAAAGCAGTTTTTCCAATTCTGTGGAAAGCTCATTGGTAGCTTGATGGGGATGGCATTGAATCTATAAATTACCTTGGGCAGTATGGCCATTTTCCACGATATTGATTCTTCCTATCCATGAGCATGGTATGTTCTTCCATTTGTTTACATGCCATACATCTTCGATTTCACTGAGCAGTGGTTTGTAGTTCTCCTTGAAGAGTCCTTTACATCCCTTGGAAGTTTCTGGATTCTGGAGTATTTATTCTCTTGAAGCAATTGCTGAATGGAAGTTCATTCCTGATTTGGCTCTCTGTTTGACTGTCACTGAGTGTATAAAGTGTATTTGATTTTTGCACATTAATTTTGTATCCTAGGACTTTGCTGAGACATGATCAGCTTAAGGAGATTTTAGGCTGAGACAATGGGGTTTTCTAAATATACAATCATGTCGTCTGCAAACAGGGACAATTTGACTTCTTCTTTTCCTAACTGAATCAGCGATTTCTTTCTCTTGCCTGATTGCCTAGCCAGAACTTCCAACACTATGTTGAATAGGAGTGGTGAGAGAGGGCATCTATGTATGCCAGTTTTCAAAGGGGAATTTTTCCAGTTTTTGCCCATTCAGTATGATATTGGCTGTGGGTTTGTCATAAATAGCTCTTATGATTTTGAAATTACGTTCCATCAATGCGAATTTGTGACGTTTTTAGCATGAAGGGCTGTTGAATTTTGTCAAAAGCCTTTTCTGCATCTAATGAGATAATGATGTGGTTCTTGTCTTTGGTTCTGTTTATATGCTGGATTCTGTTTATTGATTTGCGAATGTTGAACCAGCCTTGCATCCCAGGGATGTTGCCCGATCATGGTGGATAAGCTTTTTGATGTGCTGCTGAATCCGGTTTGCCAGTATTTTGTTGAGGATTTTTGCATCGATGTTCATCAGGGATATTGGTCTAAAATTCTCTTTTTTTTGTTGTGTCTCTGCCAGGCTTTGGTATCAGGATGATGTTGGCCTCATAAAATGAGTTAGGAGGATTCCCTCTTTTTCTATTAATTGGAATAGTTTCAGAAGGAATGGTAGCAGCTCCTCCTTGTACCTCTGGTAGAATTCAGCTGTGAATCCATCTGGTCCTGGACTTTTTTTGGTTGGTAGGCTATTAATTATTGCCTCCGTTTTAAGAGCCTACTATTTGGTCTATTCAGGGGATTCAACTTCTTCCTGGTTTAGTCTTGGAAGAGTGTAAGTGTCCAGGAAATTATCCATTTCTTTTAGATTTTCCAGTTTATTTGCGTAGAGGTGTTTATAGTGTTCTCTGATGATAGTTTGTATTTCTGTAGGGTCGGTGGTGATATCCCCTTTATCATTTTAATTGGAAATCGATTTGATTCCTTCTCTCTTTCTTCTTTATTAGTCTTGCTAGTGGTCTGTCAATTTTGTTGATCTTTTCAAAAAACCAACTCCTGGATTCATTGATTTCTTGGAGGGTTTTTGTGTCTCTATCTCCTTCAGTTCTGCTCTGATCTTAGTTATTTCTTGCCTTCTGCTAGCTTTGAGATGTGTTTGCTCTTGCTTCTCTTATTTTGTTCTTTATTTAATTTTTGGATAGTTACTATTGCTGTTTATTTAATTTTGGATAGTTACTATTGCTGTGTCTTCAAGAGTTCATTAGTTGTTTTTCTGCAGTATCTAAACCGTTGTTAATCACATCCAGTGTATTTCTTATTTAAGTCATTGTAGTTTTCATATCTAAAAGTTCATTTTGGATCTTTGAAGCATTTTTGTGTCTCTAGTTAAATGTTCTCTCTCTGTTACCACTTCTTCACCATGTGTAAAACAGTTATAGTAACTGCCTCAGTGCCTCCACCTGCTAATTCTGTCTGTGTCAGTTTCAATTAATTGTTTCTTCTCCTCATATCGGGGTTGTGTTTTCCTGAGTGTCTGCATGCTTGGCAATGTTTACTTGGATGCCAGGCTTTGTGAATTTTACCTTGTTAGCTGCTGGGTATTTTCTTATTCCTAGCGATATTCTTGAGCTTTTCTCTGTGATGAAGTTAAGCCACTTGAACATAGGCTGATCTTTCCAGGCCTTGCTTTTAAGATTTGTTAGCTGGAATTAAAGTAGTGGTTAGTTTATGGTTAATATTGCTGCACTCGGAAACAAACTCTTCCATGTAGACTACCTGATGCGCCCTTTGGCTGCACCATTTTATATTCCCACCAACAATGCATAAGCATTCCAATTTTTCTACATTTTTGCAAAGATTTGTTACTTCTGGTTTTGTTTTGCTTTGTTTTGTTTTATAATGGCCATCCAAACAGGTTTGAGGTGGTATCTCATTGTGGTTTTGATTTACATTTCCCTGATGATTAGTGATGTTGAATACCATTTTAAATACCTGTTGGACATTTGTATTTATCCTTTGGGGAAATGTTTATTCCCCAAAGAATAAACATTTTTGCTCTCTATATATATAGCTATATTCATCAGAAATACTGGCCTGTAGTTTTCTTGTAGTATCTTTTCCTGGATTTGGTATCAGAGTAATGCTGGCCTCATAAAATATGTATAGAAGTGTTCTCTTCAGTCTTTTGGAAGAGCCTGAGAAGGATTGGTATGAATTCTTATTTAAATGTTTCACAGAATTCTCCAGTGAAGCCATCTGGTTTGAGGTTTTCCTTTGTTGAAAAAATTTTTATTACTGATTTACTCTCCTTATTAGTTATAGGTCTGTTGAGTTTTTTTGTGTTTTCATAAGTTACTCTTGGTAGGTTATATGTTTCTAGAAATTTATTTCTTGTAAGTTATCTAATTTGTTGGCATATAATTGTTCATCGTTGTCTCTATAATCTATTTTGCTTGGTATTTTGGTTTTTTAGGGTGAGGAAGTAAATGTGGTTCCTGTTATACAAACTTGTACAGAAGCAGAAGTTTCATTCTGATTGATTTTAGTTACTTTGGGTGAAACATTACCATGTTTCAATGAGGAAGAAATACATATATATTTTATATATATGTAAAATTATACTCAGAAAATATTCCCCACTATTCCTTCCAGCCCATTGTCTCCACCTTTCTTTTCACCCTGTTACTGCTTATTCCCTATAAGAAAGAAATCTCATTAGTTTTCTGGTTGACCCATTTAGTTGGGCTTTTTTGAGTACTAATAAATGTTACATGCATATTTTTTACATCTCCTCTTCTTATATTAAAGATAGTCTTTTGCACTTTTTTTTTTTTTCATTTAACAACCTATCCTGGATATCAGTTCATAGAGATTTTCCTCATTCTTTCTGGTGGTTTCCTAGTGTTCTACTGTGGATTTACTGTCATTCAGTCACTCTCCTATGTCTGGTCATTTAGGTTGTTTCCTAAATTTTGCATTTACAAACAATGTTGCAATGAATAATCTGATACATTTACATTTTCCTATTGGAAGTTTAGTAATCCTGGCTCACTTTGGGAATTTCTACACCAACTAAATGATACAAAATTTGAATCCAAATCTAAATAATATGCAAGTCCAAGAATTCAGTTTCTCATGAGAGCACTGTTTTCACCCCAAATTTGGGAATAAACAAATAACCTATCAACTCATAGAGATGGTAGGTGAAGTATTTCTAGTCACTGTGTGTCTTAGTCAGTTTGGGTTGTTATAACAGAAGTACCACAGACAGGATGGCTTAAACAACAAGAATTTATTTCCCACGGTTCTGGAGGCTGAGCAGTTCAAAATCGAGGTGCCAGCTGATTTGGTTCTTGGTGAAAGCCCTTTTGGTGGTTTGCAGACAGAAGCCTTTTTGCTGTGTCCTCACACGGTAGAGAGAGACATCAGCTGTCTAGTCTCTTGTAATACGGGCACCCTAATGCCATTTATGAGGGTTTCACCCTCATGACTCAGTTACTTCCCAGAGGCCCACCCTCCAAATACATCACATGGGGGATTAAAGATTCAGTCTGTGAATTTGAGGTGGACACAAATACTCAGTCCATAGCACTGCAGGTATAGTTTTTGAAGACCCTAGCTTTATGTGTTAGTCTCAATTCCAACTTCTTACCTTGCATAGACCGAAGGCCTCTTCTGCTGCCCTCCCCTTACAATACAAGCCTATAGTTGTAACCTTATTCTACAGGCCTTTATAAAGACTGCCAGGCGTGGTGGTTCTCTGCTAATTAATACTGTATTTTTAAAAATTCACCTTTTTTCTAGCATCACAAGTTCCTTCTCTTTCACATCAGTAAACATTTTTTAAACATGTTTAAATACTTTATTTGGCAGTTTAGAGAGGAAGGATTTTCATGTTAGTTTAGTTCACTAATGTTGCTGGATAACTCACATACAGACTTGCATGGATGCTGTCATATGCTCATATACCATTTACCTTTGTAGAGGAACTATCCTGCAGAAAATGGCCAGGGTATCTAAGTGAGGAAATAACTTGATTCAAGAGGCAGCTTTTGGACACCCAAATCATTTAAGTCTCACCTCAAGGAAATTTGCCATGTCCAAAATTTAAAATCAACAGTTAAGGAGGAAAATGGCTGGTGATCGCTGAGATGGAACAGGGTGGCTATGTAATTTTTGAAATGTACCATTTATACAAAATATAAATGTTAATTGTATTGAATTGTTTCATTTTTCCCTTGTGTGCATTTTAGGCAATAATTCTAAAGAGAAATGAAATTCTAAAACTGGGAGTATCTAAACTCAACTTTTGGGTAAGATTCAATGTTTTTAATGCAGTTTATTTAAATTCTACTTTTTATTTCTATAAACTGAACACAGTTAATAATCTTTAAAATGCTAATGATTTATAGCCAATAAATAGCTACTGACTTAAAAATAGCTACTATCTAAGGTAGATAGATACATAAGGAAATAGTCCTTAGCAAGGACTAGAAATCAAATAGCTACTATCTAAGGTAGATAGATACGTAAGGAAATAGTCCTTAGCAAGGACTAGAAATCATTTTCAAGTAGTTAGCACATGTATTTCACAACTCACTTCCAGGCCACTCTTCCTTTATGTTTCATCCTGCTATATCCACACAGCCTTGCTTTTTAAAATGTGTTTGTCTTGAGTTTCTCTGTTTAGCTTCAATTAACCTTCCCTTCAAAATAATTCGTTTGTAGTTTCTTTCCAACTTTCTCCTTTTCTTTCTTCTGCATCTATCCATCATCTATCTCTCTTTCCTTCTGCTTCCAACTTTAGACTCTATTACTTTCGTCCTTTTAACATTTTCCTTCCAGTCTCCCAGCCCCTTCTAATTTGAACTCAGCCACTACCTAATCTTTGTTTGGCTTCTTCCCAAATATGCAGATGGATGGCTTATGTTACCTCCATGGTTTCCTAGTAAAATAAGTTATTAGGCAGGTAGTGCAACCCCTAAATTCTCTTAATATGAGACAGATGATATTCTTTTTCTCTGGTCTGTCATGTACTCCTATTAAAAAATAAACCCTGGGCCACACACAGTGGCTCATGCCTATAATCACAGCACTTTGGGAGGCCAATACGGACAGAGAGCTTCAGCCCAGGAGTTTGAGACCAGCCTGGGCAACATGGCAAAACTCCATCTCTACAAAAAATAGAAAAACTAGTTGGGCATGGTGGCATGAGCCTGTGATCCCAACTACTCAGGAGGCTGAGGTGGGAGGATTGCTCGAACCCAGGAAGGTTACAATGAGCCATGATCACCCCACTGCACTCCATGCTGGGCGACAGCAGAAATGAACTCTATGTTTACATGTTATATATTGAGAGGATAAGTCTGGAAATGTTACAAGTTGAGGAAGGAACCCACAATACAAGAGAACAAAATGGAAGGAGTTGCTGTTTTCTCCTTGTTGGAGGCATTCTCCCATCCTTCATGGTGAAAATATGGAAAGATTTGTCCACTAAGTTGTTGAATGAATGATATGATGCTTTTTTTGTCTTATTATTATTATTTATTGGTTCTACCAATTTGACTCTTTACCCAGGCCACCTGTCCTTAGGCATGCAGGCTTTGTAGAAATTCACACATCGACATTACACTTGTAATATATAATTCTTTCACTTCAGAAAAATTGAGCAATTTAATAACTCAACTCAAAAGAAGGTCAGAATTTCAGTTGCAAACTATTGAAAAATGACAATAAATAGAAGAGTATCCATAAACGTCAAAAAAATTCTGCCAAGGCTGCACTCAAAGGAACATTTGCTGTCTTCATTTTCAACAACATTTTCAGTAGTAGACTGGAAAGAACATGAATTGACTAAGTTTTAAATTCAAGAATATCAAAGAAACAAAAAAATCTAAGGAGGGAAAAGTTGAGATTTAACCAAGTGTTCAGCTTACATGTTTTTAAGCCTCCCTAGGTATGATTTTCTGTTTTTAGCTCTGTATATCTTTGGCAAAAATACGTATTTATTACACACAACCCGAACAAGGTATTTTTAGATCTAAGTGATTCATTTTAGAGTTTAACATCAATAGAAGCAAATTCACTGTTTAATGGGAGACTCCAGTTTTTGGTGGCAAGGTAATTATTGAATTGAGCTCATGCTGAAATTTACAAAGGGGAACTTTGTATGTGCCATGAGGCATGAGAATCATTACGGGAAGGGAAGTGGAACCTCCAAGATAATCTAAAACTCAGTACTAAGGCCAGATAAGGATAGTATGAAAAAGGATATTCTTACTTGTGAGCATAGATTCAAAATTTCACTTAGATTAAAAACATTCCTTACACACAAAAGTATAAAAGATTAGTAACTCAAGAACAGCCATCTATATGATAAAGATAATCCACTTGTGATAAATCTGGCTTATTCTAGGAATCTAAAGATGTTTCTGGAAAATCCAAAAATGTAAATTATCACACTAACGGATTAAAAGAGAAAAATATCTTATGATCATCCCATTAGATGCAGAAAATAAAATTGATAAAATTGAACACCCATTTATAATGAAAACATTTAACACAATATAAATAACAGTTTTCTTAACCCAGTAAAATTCTTCAGCAGTCATTGGTCTTACTGATGATAAGGTATTTAGAGTGTTCTGTTCAAAATCAAGATAAAGATAAATGTGCTTTTTCACATTTTATTAAAGGTCCAAACTAGCCTAGTAATGCAAGAAAAGTAAATAATAGGAAAAGGAAAGAAACTGAAGGAAGCAAAATTTATTATAGTATCAATATTTACCTAGAAAGAATAAAATAATTGACAGACAAACTATTAGAAATTAGAAGAATTCAATACCATGGCTAGATATGTTTAATATTCAAAAATCAATTGCATTTCTATTCTTTGGCAACAAACAGAAAACATTTTTTAAAAAATATGCCTTATGTATTAGGAAGAAAAATGCATAGGATCTGAATGAATCTAACAAAATACATGCAGCATTTGTATTGGGAAATTTATTTAAAAATTTTAAGATATAAATAGAAAAATAAAACACATATATATGAAGATTCATGTAATGCAGTTCTCCCCAGTTGATGTTCAGATTCAAAGCAATTTCAGCAAGATTGTCTTGCAGGTCACTGTTCACTAAATGATGCTGGAATAGTCTATATGAGAAAAACCATATGTTATACACAAATATCAGTTCCAGGCCTAGCCGTTTTGAATGTTCCTAAGCTGGATGTCTTTTTGACATGTCATTATAAATTTATAATGCTCCAGTCTTTTCTCGTTTTTCCTTTTGCTAGCCTTGGAATCAGCCATTTTTTCCTAGGAGCCCTGGTTCCTTTTAGAGGAGAATGGTATTTGGACACAAGGCCTGAATGGTATGTGCACTCGTTACTACCAGTGTGTCCTTGTTTCTAGGCCCTTTCACTGCACATATGTGCACACGTGTGTGTGTATGAAATCATGATTTCATAACTATAGCTCCAATCCCAGCCCAATGCTATAGAAAGGCAGCCTAGCTAGGTACCTCAGAACTCCCAGAAAAACACTACAGGCTGCCATCTCCTGAAACTCCATCCAGTGGCAGAAGATACTCAGAAAGAGGGTCCAGGGAAATGCTCTCCATCCTGTGGGTCTGGTATCTACTGTTCCCTCCAGGGAGGCTGCCCATGCAGGTAGCAGCAGCAGGGATCTAATAGGTGCCCTGCTAGGACTAGGCAGCCCAGGAAAGAGCCCTCTGCCTCTGCCAACTCACTACCCCACAATCCTGGTGTCTCTCACCCTCCACCTCATGGCAACAGAACATGGGAAGTACATTCTTCCTGCATCAGCAGCATGATTTGGGGCAGAGACAGAGTACCAGGGCACCAGATGAATCGAGCTGACCAGAATAGCACTAGCACTGCAAAGGCTCTGAACACTAAATGTCATTGTAACTATAGCACACAGAAGTAGGCCAGGACTTGCATTATAAACCTAAAAACAAAGTGACTGTCTGCTGAAATAGAAATTTAAAATAGGATCCACAGTCTCTAACATAATATAAAAAATGTACTGGATACAATAGAAAAACCACTCATCATAAGCAAGAATGGAGAAAATAACAACTTGAATGAGAAAAGACAATCAACAGATGTCAACACTGAGATGAATAGGATGCGGGGATTATTTCACAAGGGTTTTAAAGCAGTCATCATAAAAACACTTAATGAGCAGTTTTAAATACTCTGGAAGCAAATGCAAAGACTATAAAATCTTACCAAATAATTTTTTTTTAAAGAACAACTTGGTGATTATAGAACTGAAAAATACAATAACAAATTAAAATTCAGTAAATGGAGTTGGTAGCAGAGTGAATATTATATTACAGAGGAAGCAATCAGTGCTCTTGAAGATAGAACAATAGAAATCTCCCAATCTAAATTGAGAGAAAATCACAGGAAAAAGGACAGAGCCTCCGGGACCTATGGTGTAGTAACAAAAGATCTAATATTTGTATCATCAAAATTTCAGAAGAAATTGAAAAAGAGAGTTGGGGGGCCAAACAGTATTTTAAGAAGTAATTGCTAAAAACTCCCCAAATTTGGTGAAAGACACACCTGCAGAGTGAAGACACTGAGCGATTCCCAAGTAAGACAAACCCAGAGAAATCCATGCCAAGATACACTATAAGTTAATTTTTAAAACTAAAAGAAAAAAATCTTGAAAGCAGGTATGGAGAAATGAGACATCACCTACAGGGCAAAACTGACTTGAATTGTAGCAGACTTCTCATGTGAAACTAGGGAGGCCAGAAGGTTGTGGCAGAACACTTGTCAAGATGAATTACATATCCAGTGGATGTTTCCTTTAGGAATGAAGGGGAAATAGACATTCTCCAATCAAGGCAAATTAAGATAATTTGTGGCTAGCAGAGAACCTTAAAGAATGGTTAATTGAAGTTATTTTGTCAGGTTTGTTGAAGACCAGATGGTTGTAGATACGTGGTTTTATTTCTGAGTTCTCTATTCTCTTCCATTCGTTGATGTGCCTGTTTGTACAAGTACCATGCTGTTTTGGTTACTGTAGCCTTGTAATATAGTTTGAAGTCAGGTAGCCTGAGGCCTCCAGGTTGGTTCTTTTTGCTTAGGATTGTCTTGGCTATATGAGCTCTTTTTTGATAGCATGGAATCAACCCAAATGCCCATGAATGATAGACTGGATAAAGAAAACGTGATACATATACACCATGGAATATTATGCAGTCATAAAAAGAAATGAGATCATGCTCTTGGCAGGGACATGGATGGAGCTGGAAGCCATTATTCTCAGCAAACTAATGTAGAAACAGAAAACCAAACACTGCATGTTCTCACTTATAAGTGGGAGCTGAACACCGAGTACACGTGGACACAGGGAGGGGAACAACACACACTGGGGCTTGTCAGGGGAGGGTGGGGGGAGAGAGAGCATCAGGAAAAATAGCTAATGAATGCTGGGCTTAATACCTAGGTAATGGGGCAGCAAACCACCAAGGCATATGTTTACCTATGTAACAAACATGCACATCCTGCACAGGTACCCTGGAACTTAAAATTTAAAAAGTTCTGTAAACAAAAAGGAAACGCAAGAAGGAATCCTAGAATATAGGGAAGAAATATAAAACAGCAAAATAGATACACAGAGGGGTAGATATAATAGACTATTCTTCTCATGAGTATTTCCTTTTGTGTACTTTTTTGCTTTATTTTGTTATTCTTTATTTAGATTTTTAAGTCAAGGATTTAATTCATTTATTTTCACTCTTTTGTTTGTATTGATAAAGCTTTTGAGGCCATGAATTTGCTTCTTATCCTTGCTTTAAATGTCTTCCTTAGTTTCCATATGGAAATGGTATTTGCCTGCCATGCTGCTGCCATCATTCTATTTTTCACCTTTCTGAATCTGTTTTTGTTTGTCTTCCCCATGTAGCATAAGTTGAGTCTGTCTTTGCTTTGTGAGATAATGTGAAAACCTTTGTTGTTAAGTTTTATGTGTATTTGACTATATTTGCTTTGTTTCTGTATATGATTCTCTTTTATTTTAAACTTTTTGTATTTAGGAAGGTTACTATTCCTCAATTGTCGCATATTTGAAACTTTTTTTATAACGTCCATAGTTGAATGACAGATTAGCTAGATATAAAATCCTTGGTTCTCACTTTTTAAAGTTTCTTAAAAATGCCTCTACACTACTGTTTTGGTTTATATGTTTTTTTTTTTAACAAGTCTGATGCTAGCCAAATTCTCCTGTCCCTTTTAAATTATGTGACTTTTGTGCCTGGAGGTTCTGAGGAATTTTTCTTCATTTTTCATCATTCTACTGAAAGATGTCTTGAGTTAGTTTACCATACCAGATTAATTTTTTCCAGTACCCCCTGGATCCTTTCCAAATGCTGATTCAGGTCTTGTTTTATCTGGAAAGTTTTCTTGGATTATAATTTAAACACTAGTTTTGATTCATTGCTGTGAGTTTTTTGTTTTGTTTTGTTTTGTTTTTCAGGCGCTCCAGTTGTAAGTATGTGCCTTTCTTCCATTTCTGCCATGTTCTCTGTTCCTTCTCACTTCTTTCTCTGGTATCATTTTCATTCTTCATCATTGTTTTAGTGCCTTTACTTCAATTCCTTCATTAACTTATTTGAATTTCTTTTCTTTTTATCATCTTGTGATTTAGTTTTTATTTTTTTGATGATAATCTCCTTTTCTTCCATTCCCTTTCTATGTCTAATAAACTATTTCTTTCTACTTTTTTCCCCATTTCTGTTCTTGGTTTTTGAATTTCTTATTTAAATTGCTTTTTTAATATTTCTGAATGCTTGTTTGAGGATATTTAATTCAACTTTTAATTCTGCGTAATTTTCTTCTGCTTTGTGAGATTTTATTGTTCAGTGGTGTGGATTTCATTAGCTGAAATATTTGACTTTCATGTTTGTTATCTTCTTAAAGAAGCTTTGGATATTTATATAGGCATTTTTTCATCTATTAATTATTTTGTGTTTTCTAGTCCAAGTGCAAACCTCTTCTGAGAATGTAACATAGTGTGATTTTTTTCAGTGAATAACTTTTTTCTTTTTTTGTGTGTGTAATAGCAGTAGTGATGGATAGTCTTTTGGTTTCGGTTCTCGTTTTTCCTGCTGGATACTTTTTCCTTCTTGCACTCCCCTTTTTTATCCTCCTTTCTTTCCAGAAATGATGACTTTCTGACATCAGTGTTTTTGTCCCTACTCACTCTGAGGCCCTGCTCTGTACTCCCATTTACCAATCTCCCAGGGCTCTTTTTACACATAGGGTGGACTTTTCTCTTTCTTGGGTTTTTTTAGTTCCAATTTTGACCCCTGTCTTTCCTTTTCTTCTTTATCCTTTTGTGGGTCTCCCCTCATTCTCTGCAAAGGCTTAGGTCAGGGACTTGAGGTATAACTCTATATATTCGTTGCTTCCTTTTCGATTCATAGGTAATTTGAAGTTTGTGCTGTTACCTTTTCTCCATATATGTGGTTGTATTGTTCTACTTGGGTGATATATGCAAAGATTTGAATTTAGGCTGCTGTAACTTTCCCCAGGCTAACCAGAAGTGCACAATTGTTCCCTTTTTAATCAAGGCTAGTCAAAAAATCAACAGTAACACAGAAGCCTCATTGCCAGTTCTAGTTCATATTCCTCTTTCTTAAAGAAAAGCTTAAATTTTCACATTTCAAACTGTTATTTCTTGAAGATGGGCTCATATATTTCCACAGGAGTGGTAGAAGAACTTTTAAGGTAGTGTTTTAAAAAATGGATTTTCAGCTGAGAAATAATGTTTGGAAACAAACACATAAACACTCCCTTTTCTTAACAGAAATCAAAAGGAAGTAACCTTTTAAAACTTCCTTTAGATTTAGGATATGTGTAAGCAGCCACTTTTCCGACGCACACGGGGTTTTCTCTTTGTTCAAATCCCCCCTCCCTCTGTCGCTGTATGGGAAGCTATTTTCTTTTTCCTTCTTTCGTTCTTACCTATTAACCTTTCACTCCTTAAGACAAAAAAAAAAAAAAAAAAAAAGATTTAGGATATGTAGAATTCTAGTGTTGCTATATATTTTATACCAGTGTCATCAGTTTTAATTCTTTGCTTTTAAACAAGATTTTCCAAAGGAACTTTTTAAAAAAACTCACCATTTATACCTCACATAATTAAAATTTTTATATGTCATTTGTAGATATAATTGAATACTTTAACTGGGTGATTTGTAGTTTTAAATACTGGACTTCTATTTTATTTTCTAGCTAATTCAAGGTAGTGCCTGGTGGTTTGGAACAATCATTTTGAAATTTCTGACATCTAAAATCTTAGGCGTTTCAGACCACGTAAGTACTTTTTAGTTAAAAACATGAAAGTTCTTATAAATATGCAGCTTAATGAAAATTTTGAAACCATCTATTCTTACCTCTTCATTTTACAGAGGTTAAGTGTCTTCTTTAAGGTCTTTAGACGAGTTACTGGCAGAGTCAATAATAAAATCTTGCAGTTCAGTGATCTTTGCAACCCACTAAAAAGAAAGAATATTCATCAATGCTGACTTGGCCTTTCAGGAAAAAAATACTATTAGTTTGTTAAGTAGTTATTTGTTTATATTTCAGTAAAAATACAAATAATTAGTTGTTTACATCGTAAGTTATCCATTTATTGCAGATGTTAACATATGGGAGACTGTCTTCAGCTTTGAAAATACAGAACTCTTAAAATCTCAGTGTTGTTTTATTTATTTGTAACTATGGACTAAAATCAATGTATGATTTGATGTTTTAAGGCCTTTCTTGTTATATAAAAAGAGAATGTTAAAAAATTTTGATCTTTTCATTTTCTAGGAAATACATGCAGAGCATTTCTCTCTCATGTAGTATTTCTGTTTATTTAATGTCTATTTCTCTCTCATGTGGTATTTCTGTTTGTTAATGTCTTAAAGAGTAGCCCTTTTCAAGGCCTAAGTCCCTGCTTAACTAACTGGTTTGGGGAATAGAAAACAATGCATGAATCTACTTTTTATTTCTAGCACTTTCTGTTTAGAAATAAGCATACATGAGTATATCATACAATAATCAATTTTGAAATTTACCTCATTTAATGCTATCCAGTTAGGGCCCTGTTTGGTGCTGAAATTATGTACTTTGGCAAGGGTTTATAGTATTACTTCTCTAAAAGGTCAAATGCTATCTCTATGCAATATAATATGCAACATGTTTATATTAAATAAAATTTCTAAATGTAAGTGTATGCCATTTATTGCTAGCTTTGCATGGTGGTTTATTAGTTTATTTGTTGCTGCTGTTCTCTGGTATGTCTGACCCATTTCCCCATTCTCCTTTCCTTTTTATTGTTTTTAACTTTATTATATATGTCTTATGATAAACTTTATTTAGATCTTCTAAGTTATTTATTTATTTAAGTTTGTTCATGATTATGTTTCTTGACTTACTTCACACTTACTTCACATTGACCCCCAGCTCTTTACAAATCTGTTTTTTTTTTTTTTTTTTTTTTTTTTTTAAACACAGTCTCACTCCATCACCCAGGCTGGAGTGCAGTGGCCAATCCTGGGTCACTGCAGCCTCCACCTCCTGGGCTCAAGCGATTCTCGTACCTCAGCTTCCTGAGTAGCTGAGATTATAGGCACGTGCCACCACGCCCGGCTAATTTTTGTATTATTAGTAGAGATGGGGTTCCAGCATGTTGGCCAGCCTGGTCTCAAACTCCTGACCTCAAGAGATCTGCCTGCCTTGGCCTCCCAAAGTGCTGGGATTACAGGTGTGAACCACCACGCCTGCCGTACAAATTAAAAAAAAAAAAAAAAATACAAACACACTTCCTTGGTAGTCCTGAGTGACTTCCTTTATGTGACAGTTATGAGGAAGACCTGAAATTATAGTGGTTTGGTTAAATTAACTGAATGAAAACCATTGATAATCATCAAACTTGTTATAAAATAATTCCTATCCCTATAAAATAATTTGAATTAAGAGTTTACTTGCCAAATATTTTCCTTTTTCTGGCCTTCTGAGGATGCTGTGGAAAAATAATTGTCTCACAAAGAGCAGGTTGTAAATAATCAGTAGAAAAATAGAAGTTCTGCATTGGGTTTGGTTGTTGGTATCTATTTTTAGCCTTGGAGATCAAATAGCTAAGTCAAAGATCAAAGTGGTATGTATAATTGTGGTAATTCTTATGAGGATCAGGTCTCATATTCAATGGTTTGAATATATGTCTGTAAAACATCAAGAAGTACCAAATATTGTAATCAGTCTGTGAGGTTTTGTGAAAATGACAGTGCACAGAAAGCTTATGACCTACAATGTATGTTGAAAGAGGTTAAGTAAAATAGTTTTTCATCATAAATTGTTGTATTATAAAGTGTAATTAACTACATGATGGTTTCTTCTCAGCAGATATTTATTTTAGCTCACTCTTTATCATAGTCTCTATTTTTTCTGTCTTCTTTCTACTTTTCATTTTTCATGATATTTCTCTTTATTTTCAGTTATCTTGAGAAGTCAGCGCATCGTATGTTTGGTTCACTGTAGTTGTTTGTTTTCTTAGAGGGATGTCTAAATACATTGGATTTATCTGCTCTATAAACTTTGTTATTCTTACATCAATAAAGTATTGCTGGCTATAGGCTATAATCATTTGTGTAATTTTAATTAATTTTACTTTATTTTCTCCCAGATTCGCCTGAGTGATCTTATAGCAGCCAGAATCTTAAGGTATACAGATTTTGATACTTTAATATACACCTGTGCTCCTGAATTTGACTTCATGGAAAAAGCGGTATGAATGTTTCTTTTCTCCTTCTCTACTAATAGGAGTTTTTGCTCTAGTTTTAATCTGAAACTCAAAATTTTTACTCAGAAACAGTCAACGTATTTTATATTTTTTTTACTGTAACTTTTGCTAATCTACTTTCCTCACTTGTTTTTTTGCCTCTTAAAAAAAAAAAAAAGATAGCCTCTATCTTATAGAGTTATTGATGATGGTTAAATGAGATAATCTGAGAAGAGTGTTTAACATACAATATGACCCATAATAATTACTATTATTACAAATCAATTACTTTCAATAATCTAGGCCAATAGGAAATATGGGACCATTCAGGAAAAAGTCTCAATTCTTGTTTCTGTTTTTAAGAAATTCAGTTTTATTACAGTTAACACACCAAATATTATAACATTTTTAACAAGGTGTTACCAAGAAAGGTATGCTACTGATGAGTTTTAATGAACATATAAAAATTCATTTTAAATTATACAAATGCAAGGTATTCTTTTTAAAAAGTTAATGTTATAAAGCTTTAAAATATAGGCTGGATGTGGTGGTTCATCCCTGTAATCCCAGCACTTTGGGAGGCCAAGGCGGTTGGATCACTTGAGGTCAGGAGTGGAGACCAGCCTGGCCAACATGGTGGTAACCCCATCTCTACTAAAAATACAAAAATTAACCAGGCATGTTGGTGCATGCCTGTAGTCCCAGCCTGAGTAGGAGGCTGAGAGAGAAGAATTGCTTGAACCCAGGAGGCGAAGATTGCAGTGAGCTGAGATCGTGCCAATGCACTCCAACCTGGGTGACAGAGTGAGACTCTGTATCAAAAACAAAAAAAAAAAAAAAAAAAAAAAAAAAAAGGCCTCTTGGTAGAATCATGGAACACAAGATCAGGAAGGGCTCCTAGAGGCCATGCCATATAGTTCTTTCATTTGCAGATAAAGAAAAGCTTAAAAGATTTGCCTAAAGCACACACAAGCCAAGATCAGGACATGGATTCTAATCGATTCTAAAACTCTCAATCCAGGGCTCTTTCCTCTATCTGAAACTTATTTTTTTTCATAGAACATAACAAAGTTGCTACTGGATTGATTATTCCTTGTGTAGTCATTATGAATTCTGAATTAGTGGTATATAATAAAATTTTACATTCTTCTCTTATCCATCCAACCAGTCATCCATTCATTCAAAAACTATTATTGACCACTAGTTATCTGTGAGGCAGTTTGCTATAGCGCGATAAAGAGGAAAATGAACTGGTTTCTTGCTTTTAAGAAATGTGTAATTTAGTTACATTGTAAATTACTCCTTATCACAATAACAGGTCATCAGAATTAGTTAGCCAATGTTATTTCTGTACTTATTCATAGTTTTAGTAATTAACTTTGATTAGCTTTCTTTCTTGTTAGCTCTAGTTTCACTAATGAAAATAATGGAGCTTTGTAGTACAGAAAATTACAATGTAGGACCCAGGGATGGGTAAACACACATTTTAAAACTTAGTATTATGTAAATTAAAAAAAGAAAAGAAAAAAATAGATATACCAATTCTAGTTGTATTAAAATAAATTTTTCATTAAAATTTTGGAATACTTTTTATAAGTATTTTTGTAATTTTAATTATTTTATTAAGGCATGGAAGACAATAAATATATATACTGCTGGTGACAAAGAAATTTTACCTTTTACTTTTAAGGAATGTTATCATGGCACTTAGTTTGACTTAGATGTTTACTAATTTAATGTAAAATTCGTAAGTAACTATTTTGAATAATTTGGTATATTTCAGACTCCGCTGAGATACACAAAGACATTATTGCTTCCAGTTGTTATGGTGATTACATGTTTTATCTTTAAAAAGGTATTTTTAAACCAATTATTGTTTGTTTTTGGCATCAATATAAGGACTATAATAATGCAAATTGCTCAGAATTCCATGTTATTTTTAGGATGAACTCTTTCTCTCTCTCAAAGTTTGTTTTTTATTTAGATATTTCATTATTGATCTTTTTATAAAAAGCCATGATAAAAGGTATTCTTATTTTTTCTTTCAAAAGATACATACCAGTCACCAGCTGTGTATCAAGGACTACATTAACATTGTAGGTACACCCGGACAAATAAAATGTGGCCACTCCTGTCTTGGAACTTACAGTCCTGGATTATTGGGGGTAGGGGTGCAGACATGAAGCAAATAATCGTACAAATGTCTAAAGAATTAAAATTTTTATAGGTACTATGAAAGAAAAGTCCAGTGACAACAACATTAATGTCTTTCAAATACAAAGCACGGTGAAGTCTTGATCTATTTTGAGTGGGCCTGCGTAGAAGAAATTTGTATAGCTAATTAAAAAATATTTTTCTACATGTTCACTGTTTCCATGACAGAAGAAAATGATATCTCAATAAAAGAAATAATCTTTAAAATACCACTGGTAGGTTTTCTTGGTCTGGGTAGAGTTTATCTAAAAGTATGGTTAAAGACAGTGGGGTTTTATTTATTTATTTATTTAGCAGTCTTGAGCCATCTTTATATTATTTACAAGCTATCTTGTCTTAAGCCAGTATATATTTATTTTATACTTTTAAGCAGATAACAATAATGTGATTTCCCTACCACTATACCAGTTGTGTTCTTGTTGAAAGGAGTTTTCTGTATTTAAAGTCAAATTGCATATGTTCTATATGTAGTTTTAGTTGCCACACTTCCCACTCCTTTATTTACACATAGATGTGAATAATTTAAGAGTGAGAAAGGTGTCTCCCTTGACATCTCTGTTGTTTTACCCTTGATCCAGTTCCCTGGGGACCATGTGGAAAGTCAGGATAAAGGAAACAAGGAGGAATGAGTAAAATGTGAGCAGGTTTACTGCCCTGCATCCTTTCGGCCCATGCTGGCTTAGAATGAAGATTTTCTCTACTGACCTGTTTCTTTTCCATCAAGGCAAAATGTCAAGTTATTCTTATAAGGCTCCACTTAGAGGGGCCAATGCACGAATTAACTATTCAGCGGAGAGTCAGCCAATGTGAGAGAAACTGATAGCTAGATCCGCAACTGCTATATTTAAAAAAATTAAGATCCAAGACTTATAAATACATTACTAGTCTCCAAACACACCACATCCTGAACTATGCATGTGCACTAGCAGGGGCATGTGCGTACACACACACATACACACATCCCTGCAGCCACCCAAGTTTTATACACACACACACACGCACACGCACACACATACATCCCTGCAGCCGCCCAAGTTTCACACACACACACACGCACAAACATCCCTGCAGCTAGCCAGGTTTCATATACACATACACAAATGTGCACACAAACACTCATCCTTGCAGCAAGCCAAGTTTCATACACACATACACACGTACACACACACGCACACGCACACTAATCTCTGTAGCTGGCCAAGTTTCATACACACACACACACACACACACACACACACACATACTCTGTCTCTCTCTCATCCCTGCAGCCAGCCAAGTTTCACTCCTTCCTTTCTGCTTTCTTACAAACTCCTCAGTCTTTATTTGTCCTATTGTGGCTTATTTTTCACCCCAAGGATACTTCTGATGGTCATTTAGTTTTCAATCATGTGAAGTCACTTCTCGGAAGGAGAAAAGGAAGGTGTGTATAGTATGACCATCCCATTCCTGAGGACTCCCTTAAACATTAAAAAATACTTCTTTCCTTGGCGGAGTGTTTACATTAATGAATCAGAGCATTTTAAATATTGCAGTATTCCTTAGAAAAGTTTCATTGATTTGATTCTATTCACAGACTATTCGTGATATTTCGTGTGTTTTAGCTACAAACACTTATCTAAGGTAAATATATCATCATTGTTTTTAAAATATACTGTATTCAATTATTAAATAACTTACTGTAACATTAATTTTTCAAATGAATATGCATTAAACTTTAGCATTATGATTAAGAAAGGAGATATGAACCAAACTTAAATGTTTTCTTTAAAATATTATTCTTATGGATTTTTTTTTTTTTTTTTTTGAGACGGAGTCTCACTCTGTGGCCCAGGCTGGAGTGCAGTGGCGCCATCTCGGCTCACTGCAAGCTCTGCCTCCCGGGTTCACACCATTCTCCTGCCTCAGCCTCGTGAGTAGCTGGGACTACAGGCGCCCGCCACCATGCCTGGCTAATTTTTTTTTTTTGTATTTTAGTAGAGACGGGGTTTCATCGTGTTAACCAGGATGATCTGGATCTCCTGACCGTCTCGGCCTCCCAAAGTGCTGGGATTACAGGCATGAGCCACCGTGCCCAGCCTCTTACAGATTTTATATGTATTTGGACTTGTTTTGGAGATATTTATATTTGTGAACTAACTCAAAGTTTAAATTGATAAATTATAATATATCATTAGAATTTGAAGTCAGTAAGCTAAAGATTTATTTTTGGAATTCCTCTCTCCCTCTGTCTCTCCCTCCCTCCCTCCCTTCCTGCCTTCCTTCCTTCTCTCTTTCTGTCTTGCCTTGCCTTTTCTTTCCCTTTCCCTTTCCCTTTCCTTTCTTCTTTTCTTTCTTTTGACAGAGTCTTGCTCTGTCACCCAGGCTGGAGTGCAGTGGCATGATCTCTGCTCACTGCAGCCTGGACATCCTGGGCTCAAGCGATCATCTCATCTCAGCTCTGCCAAGCAGCTGGGACTACAGGTGCGCATCACCATGCCCAGCTAATTTTTGTATTTTTTTATAGAGGGGGGTTTCACCATATGGGTCAGGCTTTTCTTTCTTTTTTAACTTTCAGAAGGGGTATAATTATTTGTGTTCCCGAATATTTATGAATTTTCTTCTAAACTTACTGTTAAAACTATTTATTGTAGAACATTTTTGGATGGTTTTAGTAATGTCACTAGCATAAGCAGATGCCAGTAAAATGTATCATATCAGTCACACATAAGTAAATTGCTACAGGACTCAAGAAGTAAATTGTGAAGAAAATTTCCTTCTGAGGGAAATATCTCAAATGACATGTTTTTTAATGTTCAACTTTTATTTTAGATACGGGGGCACATGTACAGGCTTGTTACATGGGTATATTGTACCCAGGTAGTGAGCATAGTACCTAATAGTAGTTTTCAAGTTACATTTTATATTTGTAAGTAGAGTATTTGATTTTATTTTGTGACTTCTACTTTATAGAATCGTTTTAGATTTATAGAAAAATTGTGAAGACAGTAGAAAGAATTTCCCTGAACCCCATCCTCCATGCTTGTATTTTTAATAAACAGCTGTGTATGGTTGTCAGAAGAGCTAATTAAGCTGTTAGGTGCATCTGTTGAAATTGTTTCCAAAATAAAGGGGATAATAGACCCATTCTATATTGTTCTGGACAGATGGAGCCCAGGGAAATGTGTCTTGGCATTCTAAAAAAGAATGAATGGCAAACCCTGGACACTATTCCCATAAGGAGTGCATGAAGGGACTTGGGATATTTAACTGGATAACAGAAGATTGAAGGGTATGTGGCAACTGTCTTCATGTATTGCACAGGGTGTAATGTGGAAGCGACAGCTCGCAGAGGCCAGTGGATGGAAGATAATTACTCAGAATATGGAAGTCTTATGTATTGATTACATATTTGAAAGTGACAGGCCTGTTGTGTATGGGCAGAGGGTTCTGGGTTAAATCGCAAAAATAATAATAGCAGGGGCTAGTAGTAATACATTCTGAAAAACCGGTGTATCAAAAAGAGAGGGAATACTCCCTTCTCTTAGATCTGCTCCTCCGGGTGCTGACTGTAGGTAGCTTTGTGTGTTTTATTTTAGAAAACACATATAGAAACACAGTATTTTTAAAAAATAGAATTGTAGTATTCTTCTTATCTGCAGCTTGTTACTTGTTTAATAGTGTGTCTTGGGCCTCTGCCTTGATCTTCATTATACTTTATAATGGTCTTAGGATTTTATTGGTGACCATCATGCGTAACTGCCATGTGGTTAGCCTTTCCCATATCCATGAAAGTTTAGATTATATATAACTTTTGTCATAAAAACCAATGTTTTGAGGATTGAACATCCTGGTTCCTGTATCTTGGTACACTTATTCTAAGTATTTCTATAGTATAAAATATTTGAATTTGGACTGCTGATTATGAGGCTTGCATATTTTAGAATTTGATAAATACTGAGAAATAATAATGAGGAGAGTGTCCATTTCCCTGCACCTCCACCAACATTGTTATCAAGCTTCTAATTTTTTCTGATAGGAAAAAAAAGTTCATTTTATTGTATAAATTCTTTGTCAGTGAAGTTTTGGAGCTTTTCATGTGTGTGTTTACTATGTTTCTTTTTGACCTTTAAAAGTTGTTTTGTGGGTTGTTTTTTTTTTTTTCAGTCTTGCTGCTGTGTATGCAGTGGCACGATCTCGGCTCACTGCAACCTCCACCTCCTGGATTCAAGCGATTCTCCTGCCCCAGCCTCTGGAGTAGCTGGGATAACAGGCGCCCATCACCACACCCAGCTAATTTTCGTAGTTTTAGTAGAGACAAAGTTTATCCATGTTGGCCAGGCTGGTCTCAAACTCCTGACCTCAGGTGATCCGCCCACCTTGGCCTCCCAAAGTGCTGGGATTGCAGGCATGAGCCCCCACGCCCGCCTAGCCATGTGTTATGTTTTTGCTTTGTCCATGGACAGTAACCTTTTGTCTCTTATGTGCATTACCTAGTTTCTTTTAAGATGTCAACTTATAGTTCATTTATGGTCTCTGCTTTACAGAACTTCTAAATTTCTGTATAATCACAGTGACAAATTTTTTTCTGGGTTCATATGTTGCTTAGAAACTCTTCCCTACATCAAAAACATTAAACTATGTTTTCAGATTTTCTTTTATAATTTTCTATTACATATAGGTGATTAATTACTCTTGCATTAATTTTGTGGTAGAGTGACACAGAGGAGTTTACCTTTTCCCCCTCAAACGAGGTATTGTCCCAACACAGTATTGCATAAATCTTTTTTCCAGTCATTTGAAATGTCAGTTTTTTTATCACTTACCAATTCTCATTATACTTGAGTCTGTTTTAGATTGTCTCTTATATTGATCTGTTAGTTTATACGAAAGCTGTATTACTTTCTTTTTTTTTTTGCATCACATTTGTATCTAGCCACATCACCAAACTTTCTTTCCAGTTCTAATAGTTTTTCTACTGATGCTCTGAATTTCCTAGGCAGGTTATCATTTAATCCAGAAATAATATTAACTTTCTAATATTTCTATTTCTCTATTTCCTTGTCTTACATATTAGCTAGAACTTTCAGAACAACTTTGAATTGCAGTGATAATGGGCTTGTCCTTACTTTGTTTCTGACTCTTAAGTGAAGAATGCTTTTAGTGTCTCACTGTTTCATTTGCTGTTAGTATATAATAGGGAGCCTTCATTTCATTAAGAAACTTTCCTTTGGGTTTATATAAGTCAGGATAATTTAAAAAATTAAAAATAGATGTTGAAAGTGTATAATGTGTGAACTGTAACTCAATAAAGCAGTAAAAAGTGAATGTTAATTTTTTAATGGCTTTAAAACTATTTTGGTGATTACTATGTATTTTTTCTCCTTATTAATAACTACACGCATTTTAAAATTTGTGGTAAGAATGCTTAACATGTGATCTACTCTCTTAACAATTTTTTAACTGTGCAATACTGTGTTGTGGACTATAGATGCAACATTCCATAGTCGATCTCTTGAACTTATTCATCTGGCTTAACTGAAGCTTTAAGCCTGTCGATTAGTAACTCCCCATTTCCCCTCATTCCAGCTCCTGGTGACACCATTCCACTCTTTGACTCTATGACGTTGACTATTTTAGGTACCTCATAGAAGTGGAATTGTGCATTATGTATTTTGTGGGATTGGCTTATTTCAGTTAGCATAATAACTTTCAGGTTCATCCATGCTGTCTCACATTGAAGAATTTCCTTCTTTTTTAGGCTGAACAATATTCCATTGCTTATGTATGCTGCGTTTTTATTATTCATCTGTTGATGGACATTTAGTCGGTTTCCACATCTGTGCTGCACATCACTGCAGTGCTACTATGAATAGCACTGCAGTGAACATGAGAGTGCTAGTATCTTGTTGAGATTTTGATTTCAACTCTTTTGGATAAATACCTAGAAGTGGGATTACTGGATTTTATGGTAGTTCTACTTTTAATTTTTTAAAGATGTTTTTGGTGAACTTCCATCCTGTATTCCATAGCAGCTGCATCATTTGTAATTCCACCTGTGCAAGGATTTCAATTTCTCTACATTCTTGCCAACACTAATTATCTTTTGTTTTTTGGATAATGTCTATCCTGACATGTACATTAGAGTGGTAATCTTTCTGCTGGTAGAAGGTCTTGCTTCAATGGTGATAGCTTCTTACTGATCAGGTGGCTGTGGCAATTTCTTAAAATAAGGCAACAATGAAGTTTGCCACATTGATTGACTCTTCCTTTCGTGAAAAATTTCTCGGTAGCATACAATACTGTTTGGTAGCATTTTACCCGCAGTAGAACTACTTTCAAAATTGGAGTCAGTCCTCTCAAACCCTGCCACGCTTTATCAACCAAGTTTATGTCATATTCTGAATCCTTTGTTTTCATTTCAGCAATGTTCACAGCATGTTCACCAGGAGTAGATTCCATCTCAAGAAATCACTTTCTTTTCTTATCCATAATAAGTGACTCCTCATCCATTCAAGTTTTATCATGAGATTGCAGCAATTCAGCCACGTCTTCAGGCTCCACTTCTAATTCTAGTTCTCTTGCTGTTTCCACCACATCTGCAGTGACTTCCTCTGCTGAACTCCTGGACCCCTCAGAGTCATCCATGAGGGTTGGAATCATTTTTAATGTTATATGAGAAGAAAACATTCTAAGAAAATAACAGATAAAGTAGAAAATAAGTTGGAATCAACTGCTTCCCATCTCTTATTGATGTTAGTATTTTGACCTCCATCCATGAATCACAAATATCCTTAATGGCATCTAGAACGGTGAATCCTTTCCAGAAGGTTTTCAATTTACCCAAATCCATCAGAGGAATCACTATCTATGACAGCTATAGCCTTATGAAATATATTTCTTAAATAATAAGACTTGAAAGTTGAAATGACTCCTTGATCCAGACTGCTTTCCTGCAACCTTAATCTCCTTGTCCATCTCTATCAGAACTGTTGGGTGACCAGCCGCATTGTCAATGAGCAATAATATTTTGAAAGGAATCTTTTTTCTGAGAAGTAGGTCTCAAGAGTGGGTTTAAAATATTCAGTAAATTGTGCTGTGACAGATGTGCTGTCATCTAGGCTTTGTTGTTCCATTTGTAGAGTAGAGGCAGAGTAGATTTAGCATAATTCTGAAAAAAGGCCTCAGGATTTTCAAAGTGGTAAATGAACATTGGCTTCAACGGAAAGTCGCCAGCTGCGTTAGTCCATAACAGGGTAATTCTGTTTTGGAGTTTTCATAAAACCAGCTTTTGGTTTTATTATATTTATGAAGGTTCTCCATTTTATTAACCTCTGCTTATATTTTTATGTCCTTAGTTTTTCTTTTGGTGCACTTTTGTTGTTTTTCTGTGTTTAAAGTTCACATCATTTATTATCAATCATTATTGTGTCCTAGTGAATACATTTAAAAGTTATAACTTTTTCTCTGAAGAAAACTCACACTGCATCCCACGATGTGTGTAGCATTACCATTAATGTTATTTCCGTGTAGTCTGTGATTTGAGTTTTGATCATTTAATCCAAAATCATTTAGAAGAATGTCCTAAAATGTCTAATTAGTTTTGGGCCAGGTGTGGTGACTCATTCCTGTAATCCCAGCACTTTGGGAGGCTGAGGTGGGTGGATCACGAGGTCAAGAGATCGAGACCATCCTGGCCAACACAGCGAAACGCCGTCTCTACTAAAAATACAAAAATTAGCCAGGCGTGGTGGCACGCACCTGTAGTTCCAGCTACTTGGGAGGTTGAGGCAGGAGAATCGCTGGAACCCAGCCGATGGAGGTTGCAGTGAGCCAAGCTCGTCACTGCACTCCAGCCTGGCAACAGAGTGAGACTCCGTCTCCAAAATAATAATAATAATAATTTTTAAAAATGTCTAACTAGTTTCTTCTGTTGTATATTTTGCCTTTAAAATTAACTTGCTATTTATTGAGATGGATGTTCAGTTTTAGTAAATGCTCTATGAGGATTTTTTTAAATGTTCCTTATTTGGGGGAAGTTCAATATTACATGTTATTTCATGTCATTAATGTGCTATCCTAAATGATCTAGTACACCAACTTATTTTTCTAATTTATCTGTTTTCTTAGAATGCTATCTTCACATACAACATTAAAAATGAATTTTTCAAAATTGTCTTGTAATTTTAATAGTGTTTTCTTTATATAGATAGTGCTGTTGTTCATTGCATAATTATTATAGGATTGTACTTTTGATTATTATAAAGGATATTCTTTGCTTCACTTAGTGGTTTTTGCTGTAAATTTTTCCTTGTAGAAAATTAATATTGCCACATCTGCTTTCTTTTTTATAGATTTGCCTGGTTTACCTGTATTTATGTTTGTTTGTTTTTTTTTTTAACATTTTTGTGACATTTTGGTTTAGGTATATTTCTCATTATTAGATTTTTTCTATTCAAATTCCTCTAATACTCATTTTCTAATTGGTGAATTTAACCCATTTTCATATTAACTGTGATAACTGCTGTGTTTGTACTACTTTCTGCCGTCTGATTCTATGTTTTCTATTCATTGTGCTTTTCAAAAATTATTTTCTTGATACTTTCTGAATTGTTAGCTATATCCTATTTCTGTATTTCCTGGTGGTTTTTCTTAAATTATTAGCAAATATATTCATCTTGATATTAAGAATTCATCAGCATCTAAAACCTGTTACCACCACTGATAGTAGCTAACAGTTATTATTTTCTGTGTGTCTGACAGTATTTTAAGTTTCTTACCAGTATTAACTCAGTAAATCCTCACAACCATCTTGTGAGAAGGGAGTCAGTTATTCCCATTATTTACAGATGAGGAAACTAGTAAGAAGGTAAGTAATTTTCCGAAAGGCACACAGCTAGTGAGTAGTAGAGGCAGAATTCATACTCAGGCTCTGTACTTAGAGACCTGCTTGCTTCAGCCCTGAGCTGTCGGAATATTTTTATTTGTCCCTGCCTACACACCCTCTCCTTCCAGGTTATGCTGAAATTTACTTCTAGATTGTTGTCTTATCTGTTATGTTTTAAGAAGTCTGTAAACATTTACATTAAAGACACCGGGAATCTTTGGACTTGACTTCAAATTTTAGTGATTTATTTTTCCTTGACATGTAGAATTGGCATGCTTTCTGGGTGCTTTCTCACCTGAAAAATGGCTTTATTTTGCCCTCATATTTGATGGATAGATAGGTTTATAGATATTTGTGGGTTTCGTTCAACATTTTGATGACATTGCTTCTTTGTGTTCTAGCATTGAGCATTACAGATGAAAATTCCTATATAGTTTTTCTCTCTGGAAATTTATAAGGTTTGGAGGGGTGATGTATGTGTGGTGTTGTTCTCTTATTCTTTCACTTTAGCCTCTCTTTTTTGAATTTCTGTTACTGCTTTTATCATATTATCTATTTCTTTTCTTTCTGTGTTCTCAGAGAATGTCATCACTGAGTCTTTAATACTGTCAACTTCAGCTGTGTACATGATGCTCTTCAACATCCTTTTGAGGCTTTAAATTAGGCAAATATATTTTTCTTAGAATTTCTGAAAACTCC